GTTCCGAAGGTTTTTTCTTCTGTTTTCTGTTTTAGTTTACCTATATTTTACAAACAGCATATATGTAAAGGGCAAGGGTGTAATATGCGATCTTGGAATATAATTTTGAGATTTTTCACACACAAAAAAAAAAAAAAAAAAAAAAGCGATCGGCATGCGGTTGAGTTAGATCGTGTTTGTGGTTGCTATTGCTACACGTCAGCACTGCCGTCTTCGCGCGAACACAGCGCGCCCTCAGCATGACTGTATCGGACTGGAAGGAGGGCTCCACAGTTAGGGTGCGTTATGGTCGGGGGAAGACAGTAGCACCCGATGATCCGCGCATCGAGGGGGAGTTGTCTCCCTGATGGGTTCAGTGCGGAGCCCCATCGCCGCGGAATTGAGGCGGAAGGGCAGGTTGGAAACTTCAGTAGAGTCACAAAAGCGAGTTACAACTGCACTATGGGGCAACATACAGTTTGCAATTGCACTTCGGGCACCCTACCTGGCCAGAAAGCTGAGTTGTATACATTGCCAGATTTGCAATTCGAAACTGTATCTTGGACCATAGTGCAATTGTAACTCAATTTTGTGACTCCCGCGTAGTTTCCCCTTTCTTGTTTCTTTCTGGAGAACCATAAAGCGTTTATTTCCAAAGGGAACATTCGGGGCCGGGAAAGCCCCACGTACAACCTTGGGCCAAGTGCCACTGGAAGTCTAGAAGCGTTGAGTTTCGTCAACACCTGTATCTGGATGAGTTTGAGGAATGTGGAGAAACGGTCTATAGTTTTCCCAACCGCAGATCTCCACAAACTCGACCAGATTCAGGTATTGAGGAAACTCAAAGCCTCTAGTATGCGGAAAGAGTGTACTGGTACTGGGGCCGTTACCCAGCTTAGAATCCTGGGGCCATGTCCCACTTACCCGTATCCATCATTTGTGACCGTAGATTGCAGAGATCCACGGTCAGATATGAAGCATAGGGGTAAGTGGGACTCGGCTCCCGGTCCAGTGTCCCCTAATACTGTTATTTTGGACTTTCACCGACTCGTCAGGAGGTTGAACCTCGACAGTCTGTCCAGCAAGCATTTGACTTATGGACACAGACTCACCACATCTGTGTGTGTGTGTGTGTATGTTTTGTTTATTTAACAATAAATTAATCTTCTTTTATGTTTTCGTTTTCATTTTTTTTTCCTATTTTGCTGAAGGTATGTCGACAAATAAACCGTACATCACAAAAAGTTGTCCAAAAAAAAATATTGATGTACCTTGATTTTTTTTTTCATTTTTTCTTATTGTTATGATCCTGGCCAATTTCGAAGTACGCATTCTCGRGAAAGTWCAATGCCGTCCAATTGCAAGAAGAAATGAATGAACTTGAGATGAGAGAGAGGGAAAGAAAAAGAAGAAGAAGATGAAAGAAAGAAGAAGAAGAAGAAGATGAAAGAAAGAAGAAGAAGAAGATGTACACCAGCAAAGAGCCATGACAATTCCCTTCTTCTTCACCAACCACTCTCCTCCTCCTTATCTCCTCCCCTCTTCAAAATAATAATGTTGAATGGCTGACCCAGATTCAATGTCCAAAYACCTCTTCTACTGCACGTATCAGATAAGGTCCACCATAGCCATCACCACCTTTCTTGCTCCTTTCTCCTTGGCCGAGGCTATGGCGGACTACCAGGGCACTCCCCTGCTGTGCAAAGGACAACACAAAGCAGCTATGGCTGCTTTAGCTCAGGCCGCCATGCCTGACTCTGCCTCAAAGCTTCTTGGTGTAGCTCTACGCCAACTGGGGACTTCCAGATGCAGCGCCCACCAAGGTGATGAAGATGGCACCCTCCATAGCCATGTAAGTACCTTTGTCGCCCTCCTTCCTAGTCCTGGTCTTCTTCGTCCTCCTGTCCTTGCTGGTCCCCAGCAGTGCTGCTCTGATGCTAGCGCTCTCCAGGCAGCGCTCCAACCAGTGTGTCCCCAAACTTGCACACCGACAATGAGGAGCAGCACTTCTCTCCTCCTGGAGATGTAGCGGCCTGCTCGCCTCTTGGGGAGTGGCTTCCTACCAAGTTCGTAGGCATCCAAGCAACCGGTACCTCCTCCTTTTCGGAGGGGAACATCATTGCAGACTCTGATATTGCCCGTACAGGCCCTATAATCAGACTGGTTGGACTGGTACCCGCCTAAACCTACTAGCCTATAGCTACTGAGCCTCTAAAAATGCCAACTTTGTCTCCTTCTGCTCGGACTCGAGTACCCGGCATGTCTACCTCTACCTTGTGTGGTACCGACCTACCTGCTGCTTGAGTGTTTTTCTGCTGCTTCAAGTGTGGCGGGCCTCGTTTTTTCCCGCTGCAACCCTCAACGCCACTGCCACAGGTAAGTACCCGCCCTTCGGGCCTTCCACACGGACCAGTACCATCGCAGGCCACACACACACTCAAACCGCCAAACACTCAGACAGTCATGCAGACCAGCAAGCACGCACACATTCAGGCTTAGAGAACTCAGCAACAAGCGGGAAACTCAGGAAGGCATGCTGCCATTGGCAAAACTCAGAAATATCCTATGTGTCTCATTCCGTGTTTGGCAGGTCCTAAGACTCCTAACATTATTCGTTCTTCATTGTTTTTGTTGTTCTGATTGTATTTATTGTTTAAAAAAAGAAGGATTGTAGATCTCATGGGGATCTACAACCCCCCTTCCCCCCCCCTTTTTTTTTTTTTTTTT